GCTCGAGGTCGCGCTGTCTCTTCGGGCACGCGGGATGCGCGTTCGGCATGGGCGCTCGAGGTCGCGCGGGTGGCGTCGCGCTGTCTCTTCGGGCGTGCATCTGTGGGTACGCGGGACGCTTGGTCGGCATGGGCGCTGTCCAGGTCGTGGTCGATGTTGAGCCTACCTACGTGCGGAATATGTACATAGAGGTGTACATAACACTCACATGAAATGGAGTCCACTTGATTTTTTATTTTTTGTAAGACCCACTTAATATGAGTGTTATGCACACCTTTATGTACACTATTATGTACTTATAGCATTATCTTTTCCCACCTAAATCTCTATTGCACTTTTAAATTTTTATTGATGTAAATGCGCCGCTACAAAATCAATAATTCAGTTAGATCTACCTTTTTTCTCCTATTACTAGTGCAGAGTCCGTGCAATGCACGGGGTGCACAATTTTAAGGCTATTTATCCAGACGTATAATTATTTATATGAATAAAGAAAAATATACGGGATAGATATGGTACGTGACACGTGCGAGGCACGTGATATATTTATTTGGGTAATATTATATTATAAGATGCAATATTAAATTAAAGTTTTATAATACGTAGGAAAATTGTACAATAAGATAGTATTCGACAAAAAAATAATTATATATTATTAAAAACCTCATTGTACACAACATTATGAGTTTGATTATTGGGCAACTCGTCATTCTCACAAACCAATATATTCAACCCCCTTCTATTAGTTACACGCGAAACAACAACATATAATTGGTCATGATTAAATACAGATAGAGTAGATACAATATCTGTTAAGATTTTTAAGAAAAAATCTTGATTTACGGAAATCGCCTTATATGTAGAGGTACAAATCAGATCAGTTTTACATAAAATTAGATAAGATTTTTTGTACAAAGATAAGAAGGAATTTTCAATTTTCAATATACAGAAACTTTAAACATGATATGTATTGATTTACGTAAATCAATATCTATATAGACAACCAAACCCTTTAATTTAGGCTTTAAATCTGATTTATTTTTGGCTGACGTAAAATCAAGATTTTATTTTGACCGATCAAATCTGTCTTTTTTCAAGATTTTATTTTGACCGATCAAATCTGTCTTTTTTTTTTGTTTTACGTACATTTTTTTTAGTGATTCTATGGGTAAAAACAATTAAATAAAAATTAATTGATGGAAATAGAATGCATTAATTATATTTGACTTTTTTTTCTACTAATTCTAGTAAATGGGATGATTAATTATATAAGTATATATATTCATGTTTTTAAATCAAGTTGCCTTTATGCTCCACACAATTAGGCACATATTAAATCCAATATACTCATCATGCACAATGTACAACCAAAAAATAAATAAGAAAAAAGAAAAGCTTAATTAGTTAAAATCAGTCTTGCCTTAGAAGTTAGACCATATAGATTATCTCTC